CTTAACAAGCAGAATCTAGCTGCACATTGAAGGAATAATAGCCCTTGTCTAAGTAGGTTCACTGCTGGAATGAAAGGATGGTTCAGCATTCTTTGGAAAACTCATTCATATGATTCAGGAAATTTATTAACATAATTCATCATATTCATTGATTTAACAAGAAAAGTCATCCTGTCAACCCCATAGGTGTTGAAAAGACATGTGACAAAACCCAACAATCTTCCTTGATTTAAAGAGGCAAACCACGGGCTTCCCTGGTGGCGCAGTGGTTGAGAGTCCGCCTGCCAATGCAGGGGACACGGGTTCATGCCCCGGTCCAGGAAGATCCCACATGCCGCGGAGCGGCTGGGCCCGTGAGCCATGGCCGCTGAGCTTGCGCGTCCGGAGCCTGTGCTCCGCAACGGGAGAGGCCACAACAGTGAGAGGCCCGCGTACCGCAAAAAAAAAAAAAAAAAAGAGGCAAACCATGAAAAAAATTCCTTCATCACCATAGTGTGGAGGAGACCTCTCAGATTATGACACACAAATCCCAAAGTCAAAAAAAAAAGATTGAAAATTTGGTGACCAAAAAAAAAATTCTACATGCAAAAAGATCAATAACAATAGCACAGTAACAAAGTCCAAAGAAATTTAAAAATATTCTCAACTTCTATCACAGGCAAAGAACCAACCTCCCCAACATAAAAGGGGCTTGTAGAAATTGCTAAGGAAGCCACAGACCGTAATCAAAAAATAGACCAAGAACAAGAAGAAACAGTTCATGGAAAAAGAAATACAAATATATCTTAAATATGTTAAAAGATGCTCAACCTCACTCATAAGAAAAGAAAGATGAAATAAAGCTGCCTTGAAATACTGCTTGTCACCCATGATATTGGCAAAACCCCACAAGTGTGGACATAGTGCAGTGTGTTAGGAAGCTGGGGACAGTGTACATGAGGGTGTCCCTGGGGAGGCCATTGGGGCTGCCTCTCAAGGCCACCAGCTCTCTGACACCTCAACTCCATAATCCCACTTCTGGAATTTTATTCTACAGATACAGTAGCACACATTCAAAAGAGTATATGTGCAAAGTTATTCATTTCAACATTTTTTGTAATATCAAAATGTTAGTTGCAATCCAACTATCCATTGACAAGAAACCAGTGAGGTAAATTATGGAAATCCATGCAATGGAATACTAATCCATACAATGGAATACTATGCAGCTGTGAAAATGAATCAGGATGTTCTTGGACGCACAAGGTATACCATCGTGGGGAAATAAACACAAAGTGCAAAGTTACCTTTTGCATAAAAGGGAGCAAAATAAGAATGCACATTTGCCCTTGCTTATGTTTTAGGAAGCAAAGGTGAAAGGATGCACAAGAAATTTAAAAAGGTTACCTGAGGGTGGAGGTGGCAAGTGGGGACTGTGGAAGGGGGCAGGTGGGAAACTGCTTCATTGTATACTTTGCTTACATTTTCTGTTCTGAACCTTGCGAATTGACTACCTATTCAACACTTTTAAAACTTGATGCATATATTTGAAGATGCTCTAAGATTTTTCTAGAAGAATAAACATTGTTGGTGGCACCTGCCTCCGGGCAGGTGAGGGTGATGGGGGAAAAGGACTTTTATTTGTCATTTTACAAAGTTCTGGACCATTGGGTTGTTTGCCATGTACACATACAACTTCTCAATTAAAGACAACTAATTATTAATGTTGATGTGTTCCTGAATACATAGAAAAAAGCATTTGAGTGGATTCCTCTGGGGCGGGAAGTGTTGGAGTTAAGACAGCAGAGAAGGGGCTTTCCTTCCATTACCCCCATGAGTCTGTGACTTATACAAGTCTCTACTCCTGCCCTGCTGTGTGAACCCAGGAAAGACCCTCACCTTTTGCCGACCCTAGGATCTTCTAGGAGTGCAGGGAGGGGCCAAAATCCAGTGAGCCCAGCTGGATCTGAAATGCTGTGACTTCAACTGGAAAAGAAAAAAAGGAAGAATAAGGGGTCAAGTGCGATGCCGGTGATGATGGTGGTGGTTAATACCCACTGTCAGGCCATTCATTATCTCATTTAATCTCACTATAAGTAAGCGGAAGGCGTCCACCTTAGAGATTCAGAGAAGGGACCCTGGAGTTCAGAGAAGGGAAGTGAACTGCCTAAGGTCATTTGGCAGCCAAGCTTGGCCTTGGCGTTTTTTTTTGCGGGGGGTGGTGGTGGTGGTGGTTGCGTTGGGTCTTCGTTGCTGCGTGCGGGCTTTCTCTAGTTGCGGGGGCTTCTCTCGTCGCGGAGCACGGGCTCTAGGCGCGCGGGCTTCAGTAGTTGTGGCTCGCAGGCTCTAGAGCACAGGCTCACTAGTTGTGGCACACGGGCTTAGTTGCTCCACGGCACGTGGGATCTTCCTGGACCAGGGATCGAACCCGTGTCCCTGCATTGGCAGGTGGATTCTTAACCACCGCTCCACCAGGGAAGTCCCTTGGCCTTGGCTTTAATTGGTAGAGCCCTTGGATAGAAAAGTCAACCCCAAGGGCAATTCTGGTTCGACGAGAACCAGGGGTTCACTTTACATGAATTAATTTAATGAGACAGTCTGGAGGGCTTTGTGGCTACAATCTGAGGCTGCCTGCATCCCACCCCAAGGCCCGCTCTTCCCACCTCTGCTTGGGTATTCCTGGGGGATGGGCACAGGGGGTGAGGATGAGCGTGATGCTGGGAATGCTGCAGTCCCGGGTATGACCACCAGGTGGCGGAGCAGCTGCACCCAGTCCTGCCCCCCGCAGCCCCAGAAAAAGAGAAAATACAAATAAAAAATTCCTTGGTCTGGAAGCGGAAAGTCAGTTGGAGATTCCGGGAACCTTCTGGCAAATCCAGGAGGTTTGACCTTCTCCTGTAAGCAAAGCTTAGGGGCGTCTATGACAGGCAAATGGCAGGGAAGAAGAGAACATTTTTTAAAGCATATGGAAGGAGGAGGTAGAAGGAGAAAAGAATTCTCTCGAAGACCCTGGGATTTCAGTAGCCACCTCTAGCCCAGCCACTATCCAAGGGAGGCCTGGGTCCTAGTGCAGCAGAATCACCTCAGGGCTTATTTTTAAATGCAAATTCCTGGGCCCACAGGGGAACGGCATTTTCACCAGCACTCCAATGGTTTCTGATCCTGGCTAAGGTTTGAAACACCAACACGGCAACACTTCCTTTCCCAGGTCAGAAACCAGGGGCCAGAGAGAGGAGGTCACTGCTCAAGGTTATGGCCCACGGGTCCAGGCCTTCCCCTGTGATGGTGTTTGCACGAACCTAGGCAGGAAGCACGATTCTTTCCATGTAACATTTGGCCTGGGATAGTTTTGGAGGGGCTGCTCCCATTCAGCCCCTCTCTCCTGGCCTCCTGGGCTTTAGTTTGGGCTGGTTCTCTCCCCACCTCTCTATTTGCTATTTTAAAATTCACAACGAGTTCCTGCCCGAGAGGCAGCGGCCCGGGCTTTGAAATCCAGGCCCAGAATCCGGACTCCCGGCTTCCTGGCTGGGCGCCATCTTGGCTGGGTTCCCCAAGCACTCTGGGGAGCTTCTGGGAAGTTTAGGGTCCAGACACCTACCCACACCTCACCCACACTTCCAGCGCTCTTCACACATCTCTCCGGAACTGACTCAGCCAATTCTTCTTGCACCTGGGAGGCCCTAATTCTGACCTAAAATCTGAATTCCAGCCTTTAGCTGGGATTTAGAACATGACAAGCTAGAGACCAAACAGCAGCTAGCCAGGGGCCTCGGAGAGAGCACAGGCTGTGGTGTCTGGTTCGAATCCTGATTATGCTGTGTGACTTTGGGCAAGCTGCCTGCCCTCTCTGAGCCTCAGTTTCCTTGTCTAGGGGAATCAGTACTGTTTCTCTCCTGGGCTGCTATGAGGAGGGAATGAGAGAGTGCAGGCAGCGTGGTCAGCATGGAGCTGAGCACACAGCAAGCCCTTGGTGCCAGGAGCAGCTGTTACTAAGAGGCATAGCGCAGGGTGGGGCCCTGGGGCAGGGGCTCCCCGCCTCCTCACACCAAGCTGGACTGGCATCAGACACTGGGTCGGGGGGGGTGACTTTACTCACTTCCCCAGTCTGCTCAGCTCCAGGGCCCACGAGGGCCTTCTAAGGGATGCCAGGAAATTGTAGCCTTGGTTTCCAACCTGGGGGAGCTTACAATCTAATAAAGGCAACTTGGAACCTTGAAATGGAAATTTCCTGAAATAGCGCGTCTGTGAGCTGGTCTCCCCATGCTGCCTGGTAGGAGGCACACGGTAAGGAGGGACAGAGCCCAGGCCTGGGCCCTCCTGCCAGCTCCGCGCGCCCACGCCCACCTCCCCCGGCCTCCCTGCAGCCTCAGGGTGGTGGAGCCCCGCTCGAGAGGCTTCTGTGCTTTAGCAAGATGAACTGATTGGTCCAGGATGGGTGAAAGTTCGGCCAACAGTTTCCTGATTAGAAGGAGGGCATGTAGAGGGTTCTGAAAGTTCAGACTGAAGGATGCTATCAGGTGGCCCATGGGGAGCTGCTGAGGCCTATCTGAGTAGCTGAGCCTGCCTTTCTCCCCCAGGATTCCTTGCTGGGATTTAACTTTAACCGTGGCAACGAGGCCACGGCCCGGTTGATGTTTCTTCCACAGCTGTAATTCAGTAACATCACGACATAGAGTCTTTTTTTTTTTTTTTTTAAGCTTCTTGACCTTTTATTCTTGGTGTTGGAGAACAGGGTGCCCCAGATGCCCCAGTGAGTCTTATTTCCTCTCCAGAGCCGTGGAGCGTCTGAGCGGCCATTCCTAGAAGTTGGGCAGGGAGGGGTTTCTTCAGAGTATATTGGGCATCTCGGGACACACTTGACTAGCTGCCGGACAGCTGCCCCACCCCCACGGGGCCGAGTGGTGAGCGGAAGCAGAAGGTCTGGAGATCCTGCGCTTGCTAGTGGTTCTGGGCAGCAGGCTGGTTACTCACCAGCTCCCTGACCCCCAGGAGACCTGCTCTAGGTGCCGGCATCTCTGTCCATGGTGTTCACTGAGCTCCTGGAGCAGGCTGGGGGTGCGGGCTTCTTCCAGGCCCTGCAGGTCCTCACCTTCTTCCTCCCGTCTGTCTGGGTGCCCATCCAATTAGTTGTGGAGAACTTTTCAGCTGCTGTCCTAGGCCACTGCTGCTGTGCCCACATGCTGGACAATGGCTCTGAGGCCCCCGGAAACCTCACCCCCGAGGCCCTCCTGGCCGTCTCCATCCCACGGAGCCCCAACCAGGAGCCCCACCAGTGTCTGCGCTTCCGCCAACCACAGTGGCAGCTCCTGGACCCCCAACGCCATGGCCACCAACTGGAGCGAGGCTGCCACGGAGCCACGCGTGGACGGCTGGGTCTACGACCGCAGCACGTTTACCTCCACCATCGTGACCGAGGTGAGGGCCTCCCCCCGACCCGCCCCAGCCAACCCCACCACTTCCTTCCTTCCCAGCCTCCCAATGACTGGGAAGATTAGATAGACTGCATCACCGCTGTTGAATGCTATGCCATTCCCTCAACACGTAAGTACTGATCACTTGGGATGGCCTGGACTCTGATCTAAGGCTAAGGTTGCAGGATGGACAGGGAGGTTTCTAGGAGCTTACATTCTGCTGGAGAATTCAGAATTAGTCAGCATTTAAACCAGTAATAACAGCAGAACAAGTCCATACCTCGTGCCCTTTAAGTGGCAGCCACCGTTCTGATGCTTTCCCTGTCATCACAATTTCACAACCACCTCTTGAGGTGGGTTTTATTTTTGACCCCGTTTAATAAGTGACAAAACCGAAGCCCAGAGAGGTTAAGTGATTTGCCCCAGGACACACAGCTAAAGCACACTCGAATCTGGTTCAACCCGGGCAGCCAGGCACCAGAACTTCTCCATCACTTTCTGTCCTGCCTTGAGTCTCAAGGCCCCTGCGTCGTAAGTGAGCACAAAGGAGACAGCAGCTCCTGCTAGTAGGGAAGGGAGAGGCAGGCAGGGAAGGGCTCTCCGAAGAGGTGACATTTAAGATGAGACTTGGATTATAAGAGAAGGAATCAGGGACTTACTTAGTGGCACAGGGGTTAAGAATCCACCTGCCAATGCAAGGGACCCGGGTTCCAGCCCTGGTCCAGGAAGATCCCACATGCCTCGGAGCAAGTAAGCCTGTGAGCCACAACTACTGAGCCCATGCACCAGAACTACTGAAGCCCGAGCGCCTAGAGCCCGTGCTCTGCAAGAAGAGAAGCCACCGCAATGCGAAGCCCACGCACCGCAATGAAGAGTAGCCCCCGCTTGCCGCAACTAGAGAAGTTCCGTGCACAGCAACGAAGACCCAACACAGCCAATAAATAAATAAATAAATAATTTTTTAAAAGACAGGGAAGGAATCAGTCACAGGAAGTTCGGGAGGAAGCTTAGTTGGGACAGAGGTCCAAGTAGGAGCTTGTCTGGGTGTTGAAAGAGCAGAACCTGGCACAGAGGGTGAGGGGTCCGGCGATGGCCGGGGCGTGTGGGGAAGGGGCCTGGATTTTGTTTAAGTGCAAAGGAAAGTCATTGGAGGCTTTGGGACTAGGAGGTGCTGTGATCTGATCTGCATTTTCAAGAGGTGACTTTGCAGGGTGAAGAATGTCCTGTGGGGTGGGGGCTCCTCCTGCAGCGGTTCAGGCAAGAGAGGCGGAGATGGAGACGGAGCCGTGGGCGGAGCGTCCAGGCCTCCGTGAAAGGAAGAGAGGCGGAGATGGAGAGGGAACCGTGGGCGGAGTGGCCAGGCCTCGGTGAAGGCAAGAGAGGCGGAGATGGAGAGGGAGCCGTGGGCGGTGCGGCCAGGCCTCGGTGAAGGGAAGGGCTGACTTGGGGGGAGAGGTGATGGGGCCAATGTTCAGGCGATGTCTGTCTGGTCCACGTCAGGCAGCAGGAAAATCACGGTGACACGTGCTTAGCCATCAGTGCTCAACTTCATGCCCTGTAAGAGAAGCATCCGTACAGCCCCATTTCTGGAGGAGACGGGCTCTGCCAGGTGCAGGAACGCCCCCAGGGGCACCAGCCTGTCGGTCATCAGCTGACTCAGAATTCGAGCCTGTGGTTTAACTGCCACCCACCACTGTCCACTCGGAGCGGCCGTCACGCCATCAGACCCAGAGCCGTGTCACATGCGCCACGCTGTGGGGTGCCAGTGGGAGGCTGAGCCCCGCTGCCCGCACCCCCCTTCCACCTGGGTCGCCTGGCCTTAGGAATCTGGGGAACCCATGCAGGGTGGCCGGATCCCCTCTGGGGGTCCTGGACCTTCCTCTGCCACCCTGGCCCTGCTATTCCACACCCCCTGAGCCAGGCTGATGCACCCCCCCTTCTCTTCCAGCGGGACCTGGTGTGTGACCACCAGGGCCTGAAGCCCCTAGGCCGATCCGTCTACCTGGCGGGGGGCCATGGCGGGTGGAGCACCTGGGGCCTCCTCTCCCACCAGTGAGTATCTCTCCCCTTCCCAGCTCCTTCAACAGAGTGAGCATTGTGGGGACAGAGGTAAAGAAATGTCCAGTGAGCGTTCGCGTTTCCTAAGAGAGGGCCTCCCCTGGTCTGGGGTCTGCGTCCCAGGTTCCCAGGGAGCCAAGAACCCAATGTCTGAACCTCAATGCCAGGTTGAGCTGAGAAATTGCCCTGAACACTGGCTCTCATCTTCAGCTATTGCACCAAACTTTATTGAGCACCTACTGTGTGCCAAGCACTGCACAGCCCCTGCCCTCAGGGAGCTGATGGTCTTCTGGGCATAGACAGACCCCTCTTTCTTTTAACTCCAAGTACATGAAATGTAACGAAATAGAAATACTCCTCTCCTCCCCCATCATCCTCCCTCCACTGCCCCCCAGCACACCCCTCCTAAGGTGGAGCATCAGAACGCTGTCCGGGACCTGCTCTCCGTCCGCGGTCCCCTCCTGCGTGGGGCGCCGCTGTCCAGTGCTGAAAACGCCCACGTTGCACCCCCTCAACTGCAAACTGGGTTTGCAGTTGTAAACCCAACTGCAGACTTGGACGCACCTCACACTTACAGCGGTCAATGCTGAGCCGCTGACTCTCCACCCCCAGCGCAGCCCCCTCCGCACCAGACTCCATCCTGGAAAACAGCCCCGCGGGGAGCCAGCCCTGTGCTCCCTCCCTCACCGCCCACACTCATCCTCCAGGGCACAGCCCCAGCCCAACGCCCCACGCCCCCTGTCCCCCGCCCAAGCCACCGCGCTCTCTGGCCCTGCTACGGCCTCCTCTGGGGTCTCCTGCCTCTACTGGGCCTTCTGTTCTGCTGCAGAGCTCAGAGTGACTTTGCAAAGGCTTATATTGGATCTGGTCGCTGCCCAGCCTGAGGTCCTCTGGGCTCCCACACCAAGGACAGTCCCCACGCACCCCAACACCCCTGCTCAGCACTTGGCCTCTCCCCCTGAGCCACGCCGGCCCCTCCTGGGGCACCGCTGCTCCCGTCCAGCCCACAGAACCCACTGAAGCCGGGGGCCGAGCCTCGCCTAGAGGTTTCTGCCCATGGCTGCTTCGTGCCCAGCACGCAGGCCTCAGCTCCAGGCCACTCCTCAGAGGCCTTTCCGGCTTCAGGCACAAAGGTCCCACTGTCCTGCCCACGCACCCCATCACAGCTCCCGGCTCTCTCTGCCGGTGCCCAGCTTTCGTGAGCTCGTTTACTGTGTGTGTCCCCAGGAGAACGTAGCTCCAAGGAGGCAGGGGCCTTGGGGCTGTATCCTCAGTGCCCAGCATACAGCACACAATCATAATACGCTGGATGCATGAATGGTTCCAGACTCTGGGCAGTGCAGGCTCTGGGGCCTCACGTGTCCCAGCTTCTTAGAAGGCAGGTTTGTTGCTTCTCTAGGCTTCCTCCTGTGAGTGGGGACCCTGCCACCTACCCACGGGGTTGTGATGATTGAGTTCATCACATGCAGAGCTTGGGCCGGGCCAGCACTGTGGTCGTTCTTTGTGGGCCTTATGTTATCCTGAGCGTAGCGGGGAGTCTGAACAGCGAGGCAGGAGGTGGTCCAGTTTGCACTTTCAGAGGACTGGCCGCCATGCCTCCACTTAGCCGTCCCCAGGGGCCACCCACACCTGGAGCCAAATCGCAATCAGTCTGAGGGTCACCTGGTGAGCCTGGGGTCAGCGCCAGGTGTCAGCCTCCAGACCTCACCCCGGATCTGGGGCGCGTGTCCCTGCTTCTGGGCGCTGCTCAGACAGGCAAGGCCAAGGTTCGCCCACATCTCTCCAGTCTGACTGACACATACTTCAGCTAAATGCAGGCAGTGGCTCGGGCTAAGCTGACCTCACTGGGGCTGAGGGCCCTCCGGTCACAGGCATGGGGGAGCCGCCTGGGTCACCCAAGGCCATGTGCGCTTAGCCTCCTGCCAGGCTCCTCCCTTGTTCAGCGTGTCCTCGTGAATCCCTGCATTTTACAGATGGAGAAACTGTGGCCCAGAGAGCAAGGCGGCTGCCATTTTTATAACAAATGCACTCTGTACGTGGTCCTAGGAGATCCGAGAAGGAGGTGCTGCCTGCACTGGCAGGTGCTCCGGCAGGTGCCCCAGCCTCCTTCGGCCCTCCGGCGGCAAGTCCCTGCCTCTATGCCAAGTCCTCAGGGCCCCTCTCCAGGCCCCCACTGTGCTTGTCTCCCGAAATAGTTTGGGCGGAAGCCTGTTCTGAGCTGGCGCTGCCTGCAGGTGACGTGGCCAGCATCAGCCCCATCGTTGCCTCCAATCTCCTTGTCTACGATTTTTGAGCACTTTGGGATTGTCTGGCATCATCCTGACCTCGACAACGCTCAGTGGATCCCTTGATCACCTGCCCCAGCCCTGTCGGGGAGGGGAGGCGGGGGCTCAAGGCCACTGCACGTGGCCCTCACCTGCTCATCTGCACCGCCTTTCAGTGGTGGAGTGGACCACGACCCGCACGAGGGCCGTCACCGTGACGATCCTGAGATGCACCTACAGCATCGGCCAGACGGCCATGGGCAGCCTGGCCTTTGCCCTGTGGGACCGGCGAGCCCTCTAGCTGGTCTTGTTGGTGCCCTTCTTGGTCATCTTCCTGATATCCTGGTCAGTGCAGCTGGGGCCTTTTCCCTTGGGGAGAACATCACTGAACGGGAGGGGGACCCGGGGTGAGAGGGGCCCTACCACTCTGGCTGGCCACGGCTCCCAAGGTGCCGTGACCATGGAAGAGAATGATGTGAGCAGACCCCACTGGGGAGAGACATCCTGGGGGCTCAGAGTTCCGGGGTGGGCATTTCAGCCAGGGGTCCGTGGTTCCCTCCAGCCCACTGACCTCCGGGCCTGAGGCTGGGGGCTCCGTTCTTCCCTCACATTGACAACCAGCCCCCCCACACCCACCAGCTTCACTCCCTCACATCACTTGCCCAGCCTGCGGACCTCCAAGTCAGGCATTGGATATGGAAAGATATTATCATTATTATTTTCAGTGCTGCGAAAATCCCTGAGGTCTGGAAATACCTGCTTGGGTGGGGACTAGAAGAAGAGGTACAGGGAAATAAACACAAATTCCTGTCCTCATAAGTTCTCTTGTGCCCGGGGGCCAGAGTTGAGCAGGTCTGCTGTGGGGTGTAGAGAAGACTGAGCACTCATTCATTCATTCTCAGATATTTATTGCACTCCTGCTCTGTGCCAGACTTGGCTTTAGGCACTGGGGACCCATCAGCAAATAAAAGAGATCATAGATCAAAAGTCACCGACTACATGGAGGTTTATGGTTTCAACAGGACCAGGAAGAAAGGAGGAAGACCATCCCATAGTTACACTGATGAAGCCGCCCTAGTCACACTGATTGGGTGGCTCCAGGTGCTGTTGATAACACCAGATGTATATCCACAGTCCTTCTAATGAGCAAGATGATGTTATCACTGCCACTTCCAGATGAGGGGCTGAGGCCCAGAGAGGGCCAGTGACTTGTCCAAGGCCGCGCAGTCACTGAGCGCCAGAGGCAAGATTTGAATCCAGGCAGGCTGACTCTTGTAAACGCCTCGTCAAACTGCCTCCAGAAGTTTTTCTTAGCTTCCCTGCAAACAGGGCTGAGCTCCTGCGGGCTGGGAAAACCCTGACCCTTTCAAAAGGAGATGCTTCTCCCTGCCCATCTGCCCCTGAGGCTGGGAAGAAGCCTACTACTTTCATAAAACCACTTGATTCTGGTTGGGGATGTTTTAAATGTGTGTGTGTTTTTTAAATGCAGCATGATGCAAGCTTTCTACCATAGAAATGACCCCAGAATCACCCCCATGTCCAGGCAGCCTGTGCGCTGGCTGAATGTGAGGCTTGGGCGGGCAGGTTCCTGGCAGCAGGGAAGCCAGATGGGGTGCCAGGGAGTGGGGGCTGGTGAAGAGGGCGGCCAGGCATTGGGACTCATCTTTATCCTGAGACCATCAGGGACTCCCCAGCCTGGTGGTGCAGAGGGAGAAGTGGCTGCCTTCTCCCCACTCCTGTTGCAGCTGGCAGGTCTGCTGCCCACCACCCCCTCCCCACATGACCTGGGGGCAGTGCCCAATCTACACGAAGAAAACAAAGACCCAGCCAAGCACCCGCTTCTCTAACTGGTGGCTGCCGGGATCCGCCCGATGGCTGATTACGGTGGGCAAAACAGATCGAGCGCTTCAGGAACTCAAAAAGGGGGCCAAGATAAATGGCCACAAGGAAGCCAAAAAGACACTGACTATAGAGGTGAGATGCTATTTGTGATACAGTGTGGGACATGACCCAGGGAAGGACATCCACGAATGTCTTATCATTATCACCAGCATCACCCCAATCTGCTCCAGCACCACCTCCATCAACACACCCACACCATCAAAACACCACCATCACTGTTGTCACTTTTGCCATCTCTATCATCACTATCACCATAATCATCATCACCATTATCACCATAATCATCACCATCAACCCCACCATCATCACCACCATCACCACCACTACCATCACCACCACTATTATCACCTCCATCACCACCACCACCACCACCACCACCATCACCACCTCCATCACCACCACCACCATCACCACCTCCATCACCACCACCACCACCACCTCCATCACCACCACCACCATCACCACCTCCATCACCACCA